TACCCACCCAGGGGAACGTCTCAAAAACCCTGAGTTATCCAGACATGCCTCCGTCATCCATCAACTTTTCTCCGCGCGAAATGTAATCTGAGATGTCTCCTTCCCAAGTGGAGTAGGTGCCCAGGCTACTCAAACCATACCAGAGAACATCACCAGGAGGCGGACCACAACACCTTCCATCGTTTGCTTGTTTTTATAGTGTCAGCTGCACTCTCGCAAGCGAAGTCTTGGCGCGCACAAAGCTCAATTCATAAATTTCCATTCCAAAATTTGAAATTTCACGCCCGTCGAAAACGTATCCCTCTTCTGCATCATCTGGTGAACTTGTCCTGATCCCTCTCACGTCCATCCCAAAGAACTATCTCCCAGATTTGTGCTCCACGCTTTGCTTCCTCCGTCGGGTATAAATATCGGCGTGGGCGTGTATTTGGTGACCGGCTGAGGCCAGAGAAAGTCGACGAGAGGTGTGGTCATTGAAACGAGGATGTACTAGGTCGTACTTGTAGACTTGATGAAGCTTAGTTGAGAATCGGACTCTTTGGGAGTGAAAGATTGACATGGTGGAGTAATTTGAATCTTTGCCTCGTGGGCCAACTTCTTTGATATTGCGAAATTTGACTGAACTTGGCTCTGGGAGAATATTTCACTCCCAGGTTCGTAGAGGACACCGCGTACAGGTGTTCAGTCTTGCCCTCCCCAAAGTAGCATAGCCATGCAGTTAAGGAGTGAGCACATTGGGTTCAATTCTTACTTGCACAGAAGACATGTTCCCAGAGTAGACAGCCTACGATGCCAATGTGGATATCCGTCCCAGAACGTCAAGCATATGATCATGGCCTGTCCCGTCTGGGCTATAGGGAGAGGGGAGATGCTGAGAAAGGCAGAGAATCGGTCATTCGAAGCGATGATGAATAACCCGAAAGATATGGCTAGAATAACAAAGTGGATACAAAAGGAAGGAAGGCTAGAGCAGTTTTGACTGACGCTTGAAGTCGAAGCCATGATGAGTGACAGAGAGAGCAGTAGGGGAAAGCTGATCTCCTGCCATAAGTAAGGGAGTGGACGGTATCCGCCTTGAATATAACAGTATTAGTGCACTTCCTTTAGGTAACATAACTTTAAAAGTGTATATAAATTAAAAAGCTGAGGGGTTTTTTACCATAAAGGTTTCCTCCTAAACAAATATTAGAGTTCGTAGACACCTGCATGGGCCTTAGGGCGCCAAATCGGGCTAAATGAAATCAAATTCAAATTACGCCCTCAGGGCCCCATACATGCAATGAGTGGAGGGCAAGACTGTACACCTGTACGCGGTGTCCTCTACGAACCTGGGGACCCCCTCGGTCGTCTAGTTGGTTTATGGCGTCCGGCTGTAACATGCGAATGGTACCGGAATGTCACGTGTTCGACTCGCGCCTGAGGGAGAAACCTTAAGCCGGCAAAGACGAATTCTTCACCTTCCAGTGGTGCCGGTGTAAACGCTCAGTATGCTCTGCAAATCTGGCATAGCCAAGAAGAATCGCATCCGAATCGAAGTCGAAAGCAAACACTTGTATATCTCCATTTGACGACTTCTCAACCATGCAGCACTCACAATTATCTTCTGAGTCCTAAACCCCGATCTAACCACATATCATCTCGCCTCGCCGACCGATAAAGGCGTCACCCCAATTGCAAACAGGAGCTTGCCTCACTCATCGCCGGCCATCACTCACTACAAATTTACGACGCTATTTATACCCGCAAGGAGGAAATCAAGTCGAAAAATACAAAGTTGGGGTCTTGACTTACGGGGGACTATTGCTCTAATGCGATAAACAACTTGAGAGAGAACAGGCGCCTGAGATGTGGAGCGAGAGGGGAAACAGGTCTATGAAGACTATGATGGGACTGTCATTTTCGAGGAGTTTTCAACTTTGGATTTTTGTGGGCGCCAAGACCGAGATTTCGGCTAATTAGCCAGGAGGGCTTCTTTTGTCGATGAGTCAACGGCACTCCCCAACGCCCTGGACGGTACAAAAGAAGTTGGGCTAAGCTACTGTACAGCAATCACGCTCTTTCGAGACTTTTCTGACATTTCGGCACGACCTTCGGGAAGGAGTTGGAAGGAGGCTAGAAAGGCAGAGGGTGAACTTCCCGAGGTACCCGCAAGTCTGCAGCGCCCAGCTGGCCGGCCTCTTCGAACGCTTCAGAAGGGGCAATATGTCTTCGGATTTAGTCCTAATGTCGGTATTAGGAGAGCTCCGCACCCAGTGGTTTTTGCAATTTTTCCCGGCTGCCATACACCCGCAAATGACCCTCGTTTCGTTGGCTGGAGAGGGGAGATTATCAAGGGCAAAGGGCTCCTCTTAGTGTATGATCGAATGAGTACTTGTGAGGGGTGGTACTGTTTGAGGGGAGCTGTATGGGAGGCATAGGAGGGGATATACTACTGGCATGGGCATCCTTAGGCTACAGGTAGAGAGGACCTGCATGTCCTACATAGTCATAGACTCAATAGGACAATAAATGAAAAACAGCCAACAGAAGCAAAACCATCAGGGCCGTCTCTTCGAACACTTCGACAACCTGAGCCAAACGAGGAGCTAGCATCTCTCTTAAATTTTCCCTGAGATTAGCCTAATAAATGAGAGGATTAACAGAATTAGTGAAAATAATCAAAAACCAATGGTTGAATAGAACGTTCTCGGCATTGAGCTGAGTCTAGTCATCGTGGCAGGACCTCTGGTTTTGTTTTTGAAAGCTTTTTCTCTATAGAATGAGGCCATAAGTCCTCTTGAACCTGTACGAAGGATCAGAATTCGACAGAAAACAAGGAAATACATTAACATTGCCAGCGTGGCTGAATTGAACTCAGGATCAAATATGACTCAGCATCCTGTTCATGTACTCAATAACCGAATGAGCCTTTGTAGCCGAGTTTTGTGATACACTTTGTGTTTGTTTCCTAGACTTTAACATGTCAGCAATGAATTCGAGGGGAACCTATTGAAAAATCCTACATCTAGCAGGATATAGGGATGAATCAATCTATAACTTGAACTCGCAAAGCCAACCTATTTTGAACCACTAACTCCGAGACCTCCTGGCTCTCCATCGTTACCAAGATTATTGGCTTTTCTTGAGGTTGTACACTATAGGTAGAGCAGGATATTTGGGAACACAGCTGATAGAGGCGTCAATCAATATCGGTTGCCACCCAGGCTTCAGGAAATCTAGTATCATTCTCATAGGTTTCCTAGCGCTAATTAAAGGGATATAATACTTGAGATATTTCGCTTTGGAATGAAATTCATATGCGAATGATCAATCATTAAGAGAAAAATATATTTTATATGATTTGTCTTTCTAACTATGAAATTTTATCGCCACGCTTAATTAAATAGTCTACTGGAAATATTCTTCTGAAGAATGGGCGAATCGTCGCAATTTTTGGCGTCAAGGAAAGGTGCGACCACCTTTGACTCCAAATATCGCAGAATTTATCTAACTACCTCATGAAGTCTGGACAACTCTCATTACCAATACCCAGTATCTCCCGGGCCTCCTTACGCTAGCCTTTTCCCTTGAAAAACAGAATTCAAAATATCCACTTGTAGCGCTTTATACCGATGGATTCCCTTCTAAAGGCCAAGCTATTCTAGCTGCTCGAGGCATCTTGACGCAGCGCATTGAGTACCTCAAACCTAAGGGAGACGTAGACTATAGCAAAGATCCAAGATTCCATGATTGCTGGTCGAAATTGACACCATTCGGCTTATTAGAGTACGATCGAGTGGTACAATTGGATAGCGATATGGTCGTGTTGCGCAATATGGACGAGTTGATGGATCTAGAGCTAGATGCACCAGAGCTAAATGGTATGGGAGTGAGAGTCTTTGCAGCTGGACATGCGTGTATCTGCAATCCGTTGAAAAAAACACACTATCCAGAAGATTGGTAGGCAATAGCAAAATCCATGGCACTATGCTTATTTCTTTCACGCCTGCACCGCTATTTCCAGCCACCATACACAGCCAGAGCCTCCCTGATATGTCGAAAAGACGTTCTAATAATCTATCGTGTCAACGTAGGATTCGGGAAAACTGTGCCTTCACGACTCAACACAGCACACCGCTCATCGCCCAAACTATCGCACCGCCTACTAATGCGAGCCCACTCGGCTTTATCAACGGTGGATTACAGGTGGTGAATCCCTCGCGCGCCGTCTTTAATCTTATCCTCGCACATCTAGAATCCGATGCCGTTCTAAAGGCCGATTTTGCCGATCAGTCGCTATTATCAGACCTATTCAAGAACCGATGGGTCCCGCTGCCCTACGTATATAATGCACTTAAAACGCTCCGTTGGCCTGGAGTACATGCCGAAATTTGGCGCGATGACGAAGTCAAGAATATTCACTACATTCTCACGCCTAAGCCATGGGAAGAGGTTGATGACACAGGCAGGAACACAAGTCATGATCCGACCCACGCACTATGGATTGCTGTCAATGCAGAGCGACTTGCATCAGAGCAAGTCAGAAATATACCCCCCTACTATCTGTAACTTACGCCACCCCGCCAGTATCTCTATACTCGCCTCTAATTTTTCGAAATCGCAACTAGTGGTATTGCCGTTGGCGTTCATTGATATGTGGGGCAAATTTTTTCTATCATATGCCGGCCAAATCATTTTTGTTATTGTTTTTATCATAAATGAAGTGGGTTGTTTTATAGAACCGCCTCGATTTGCCTCGTTTTCTATTTCTGATTGGAATTTAACATCGCGCATCTTTTTCCTGTTAACTCCATTTTTATGTATCACACCTGCTTAGTCTTCAGAACGCTCTTGAGTTGATATGAGAAAGGCTAGGTTGTAAATTATCAAGATAGTGTGTCGAATGAAATCCTCATGCTTTTTTTATGTGCTACTCCATGTGTTCTGAACAATGAAGTGTACTTCCCCGAACGCCTCCATTATCTTACACAGGGCCTACCATTATTTCTAACATCACGAGCTCACCATTTATTATCGACTTCCATCAACCATGCCCGAGCTAAATCCTTCGCTAAACCCAACCTAAGAATCCATAATATTTCTTTTCCTGTCGTGTTCGCTGAAACACCTTGGCGCCAGTCCCAGCCTCTCTTCACTCTATCTTCAGCAGCCAATTCGGAGTTCATAAGTAATTGATTCTTTTGCAAGGATGCCTTTAAATTTCTACCATCGCTACCAATTGAATCCTCTATCGAGTCATCTGGCATAGATGTTTGGTAATTTAGGTTCGAGGCCATGACTGATTGTAGAAATTCAGCACAAGCGGCATATACGCGCGATGAGACTGTTTCTAAATCTTCAATTGCACGAAGGAGAGCCTCTATCTGAGGTGCTGTAAGGATGAAATCTTCTTGGCCGACGAATCTAAGACTTTCACCGAGAAGTGCCAGGAGAAAATCGACGTTAACTACGGCACCACACTCACGATCGTATAAGCCACCACGGATATGATCGCTAGAGCTATTAATTACGGTTATTAGGGCAATGGCAGCTTGTCTCTTTCTAGCTAGGGGACCCAATTTTAATTGCTCTGCTGACACGTATACATCCCCATCGCGCAGATCGTAAAACTTTCGTAAAGTAGCATACCCACTAAGTGATTTTTGCAAAAGTTTGGCAGCATCAATATCTAGTACGGCAATATCTGTGAGGGTAGATTGTGGAGAGATTATGAAGCTTCTGAGTTGATCATCTACATCTGCTTCTGGCGGATAAGCTAGCGATTGAACTAATGAGTAAGATATTAACAAATCCAGAACATCTTTGACCTTATCACTCATATGTGCTAAGGCATAGAAGTACAGTGCTTCACCATATTTCCGAGACTTTTCTGCAAGTTCGTCGGCATAAGTCTGTTTGTGGTCAGCATAATGACAGTTTAATTCATTCTAGATAGCTTACTTGTGCAACTTTCTCAGCGTGACGCGGGAGACTGATATTGTTTAGCAATACCCACAACTTTTTGACTGTACTTGAATTCTGTAATGGGAATCTTTGCAAAAGTTCCCAAAGTATCTCTTCAGAACGTTCAGTTGAGTCTAACCTTCCAAGTATTAAAATTGATAATTCCCAGCTTTCCATCACGGCTGGAGGTTCCATGGAATATTTTAACTCTTTCCGTTGAGATAAGCTGTTAGCGTAGGCAATCAGTGTTCTATCCTTGGGTCCATCAATTTTCGTTGAAGGTGGGTTGATGCCGAGTAGATCAAGGTCATCTTGATCCAGACTTTCCATACTTATCAAGCTCTTTTCTTCACCTCGTGGTAGCCATCCAGCGAATGAAGCTATTTCTGCGACAGCGGACGACACTGGCCCAGACCACCCCCGTAAGAATCCGATCACGCTTTCAGAATCACCCTCAAATAGCGAGGCTAGCGCTACCTCTACTGGATTTGCACTATCTATCTGTAAATCTGTTGAGTCAGAAGTAGCGATTTCAAAAGAAATGCGAAGTTTCCTATCAAAAGCATCAGAACTCGATAGTCGGTGCAAGCCATCGAGTGGTTCCTGAAAATGACCTGTCGGCATATTGCGGTTCTTGATATCTTCGTCCCACCAGGCAACTAGACCGATAGTTGCTTCGCACCAGTCCTGGGAGTTTGCTAATATTACACTCATATCTCCCATCAATAGTTGGTAAAGGGTGACAAGATTTTGCTGCAGGTTCCATGGTATTAAGCTCTCTGCTTTCTTGGCTGCTTGGCTGTATGATGTAGAATTGGCCTTGGAGTATTTGTTGTCTTCATAAATTTGATTAGCGCTTTGAGTAAAGTGTTTTAAGTCTTCTAAGGCTTGTGAAGTCCGGAGCCTGAAAAGTTTCCAATCCTTATTTCGAGAGTTCCAGTCTCCATGAGTTGCTGGACAGCTAACAAGAATTTCTATGGCCGCATGCATAGCCTGCTCTATATTTCTCAGAGTCGTATCAGAATATCTAATAGAACTTGTATTATCTGGTAGTTTATCGGAGTCATTACTGATATGTCTCCAACCAGCACTTTTTATCATATTTGTTACTACTATAACCTTCCCGCGAATGAGACAATTAAAGATTGTATCCCAAAACAAAGTGTGGTTGGCTGGATAGGGTTTATGAGCTTGAACTTCTTCGTACTGGTTTGGATATGGATTGTGATAAGATTCCATCCATTCAAGAAGAGTTTGTGGAATAGGTATTTCTTTGGCTGTGTAGGAGGAAGAGGCTTTTCCAGGATGATGGATTTTCAGCGCCAGGTTTGCCAGAAAATTAGCTTTTGAAAAGTTAGCTGATTTCGGTCCTGGCCCAACGGTTGTAGTATATTCTTCCGAATGATGAATCGCGATCTGTTTGTGGTAGTTGTCCCAAAGTTTTGTGAGTTCCTGAGTTAAGACAGACAACTTTTCTTCGACCACAGCACGGACACCATCACCTTCGAAATTTTCTTGATAGAGTCTTGATATAATAGCTTCTGTCGCAAGGATAAGGTCATCAGGCTCGTCAACGGATAAGTCATCCATACAAGAATAAATATCTCGGGCTATTTTTTCATATTTTGAGGTTCCAAATTCAATATTATTTTGCGATGAAATTTGCTGTGCTTGGGGGTTTTCAATCACCATTTGTTGCTCTGTATTTCCTGTTACGGCGAGGGCTAAATCGAGATTTTCGCACTGGGATCCTGTTTGCCGGCTGCTTCCAGAATCAGAGCCATAACCACTTAAGTTCTCTTCACCATCATATTCATGCCCATCATGCTCACTATTAGAATATAAGTCATCTTCGCCCTGGATTTTCTTTACGTAGTCTTCTTTGCGGGCTTCGTCACTGCTACCATCTGAAACTACGGAGTAGAGTTCTGGAGGTTGCTTTTGATTCCGAATCTCTGGACTTAAAAATTGCATCTGCCGAGAGTTAAGTGGTCTTTGAGTTCTTAGCTGGGAAAATGAAGATACTTTAGTGGGACTCTCAATGCTCATTAACGAGTCGCCAAAGTTTGTTGGAGGTGGTCCTGACAGTCTAAATGATCCAGATGAAGACGGTGGAGGTCCAGCTGGTGTGGTAGATAGATTCTCAAACTTAGTATAATTGTCTGCATAGTCATTGATCCCTTTTCTGCCAGGCGTAGCAGGCCCAGAGAAATGTGGAAATTGATTAGACATTAATCACAGTTCGAGTGACTAGAGAGAAATTTCTAGATCTCTCTGAGAATAGACAATAAATGACTTGTTGTGGGCTTTGGCTTATTGTGTCATACCTTAGCTATATGCAGAAGTCAGATTCATAATTGAGTATGCGGTCACAGTAGGGAACCCCAAATCTATGTTATCGTTTTTGGCTTAGATCGGCTTCATCAAGCATGATCATCATCAAAACAATATTTACTTCTGTCGACCAGCAAATCAGTTTCGCATTTAAATTATTCATTCAAGCACTACAAAATGCCAAGGTACGATTTTAATTTAGATAAAACTTGAAACTTAACCTGTTTTCAGGGAGATAATCACAGTTCAAGCCGGCCAGTGCGGAAACAGCAGTCAGTTTATCTTCCAGATTTACGAACGCCTTTTACATCGGATCATATTCTGATATAAATTAAGTTGGAAGCCAGTTCTGGCAACAGCTTTGCCAGGAACACGGAATTAGTCAAGATGGGAATCTAGAAGAATTCGCCACAGAAGGCGGTGATCGAAAGGATGTCTTTTTCTACCAATCAGATGACACAAGATACATACCTAGAGCTATTTTGATTGACTTAGAACCAAGAGTGTGTACATTTGATTCAGGTGCGGCTCTAAGGGCTCACAAAATCGGTAGGTTATTAATGGGATTCAAACGGGCCCTTACAAAAACATCTACAACCCTGAGAACTTTTTTGTTGGAAATAACGGGGTTGGGGCAGCGAATAATTGGGGAGATGGATATCAGAGTGGAGAAACTCTACATGAAGATATCATGGAAATGATTGATCGGGAAGCAGATGGAAGTGATTCACTAGAAGTGAGCAGATATAATATATGCTGTGTGGATTTTACTTACAGCTTAGGGCTTCATGATGCTTCATTCAATTGCTGGAGGAACAGGCTCGGGACTTGGGTCATTTCTTCTCGAAAGGCTTAATGATCGATTTCCAAAGAAGATCATTCAGACATATTCAGTCTTTCCAGACACAACTAACTCAGGCGATGTTGTTGTTCATCCATACAACAGTCTCCTATCAATGCGAAGACTTACGCAGAACGCCGACTCTGTTGTCGTACTTGATAACGGTGCGCTGTCTAGAATAGCGGCTGACCGGCTCCATGTGCAAGAACCTTCCTTTCAACAGACTAATCAACTCGTGCGTCTACGCTTGAAATTATGCTTCAACTCTGATAAAAATCTAGGTTTCGACAGTCATGTCAGCAAGCACTACAACTTTACGATATCCGGGATACATGCACAATGATTTAGTCAGCATAGTTGCATCTCTCATTCCGACTTCGCGCTGTCATTTTCTCATGACATCTTATACTCCATTTACTGCACACAATGTCGAACAAGCTAAAACAGTACGTAAAACGACTGTTCTGGACGTTATGCGCCGGTTACTTCAGCCTAAAAACCGAATGGTGTCAACTATTCCCGGGAAAAAAAGTTGTTACATCTCTATCCTTAATGTAATCCAAGGCGATGTTGATCCTACTGATGTTCACAAAAGTTTGCTAAGGATAAGAGAACGGAAATTGGCAACTTTCATTCCGTGGGGACCGGCAAGTATTCAAGTAGCCTTAACGAAAAAGAGTCCATACATACCAATGAACCATCGCGTAAGCGGGCTCATGCTAGCCAATCACACAAGCATTGCCACTGTAAGTCTCATCATATCTCTCGGCTCATCATCTCAATGTTCCACAGTTATTCAAGCGAATCGTTCGACAATACGATGGTATGCGGAAGCGAAATGCATTTATGGAAGGATACAAAAAAACCGCTCCATTTTCCGAAAACTTGGATGAATTTGATGAGGCTAGAGAAGTAGTAACAGATCTCATTACAGAGTATGAGGCCGCTGAAGATGCTGATTACCTGAATCCCCCCGAGGCAAAGATAAGGCAACAAGAGACTCAAGAAGTAAAGTGAATCGTTGAATTTCAACCAAGGAAATTTTCTGCTCGCAAAACCCAAAACTTTCTTAGACAAGGCTCTTAAAACTTTGCTCTTCGGAAATTTTACTTTTCGGAAATTTTACTGTCATCCCTTTGAAGCTTGTATTCTAGCACTGGGATAATCCTGCAGGATTTGTAAAAGGAATCTCTGATATGGTGATATCTTAAATCAGATTAGGAGGATAAAATCTTTGACTTGGAAAACATGAGTCTGCTCGATTTCAAAAGTTTTCGATGGAAATAAAAGATCACAGTTACAATATTAATTGACTAGAATATATGAGGACGCTCATGACGTATTCTTTAGCGTGAGTTCTAGATATGGATGTTTCATGGCTTCTAACAACCAAATCCTTTCGTTCAAGTTTGAGACTAATAGTGACTTCATAGTCTTTCTACAAGTTAAAGTTATCATCAATTGATAAGGTCAACCCTATCATATCACTTCTAATCTAGTAGAATTTAGTTCTTTTGATCAATCCAACTCTCTGCGATCTCTTACCGGTCACGAGGTGTTGCACCTAAACGAGCATAGATATTCGGCAATAACATGTTCCGTGCACTCGCAAAGGCTTATTGCGCAGCCCTATCACCTCTCATGAAACATAATCCGAAGGTGCTACGTGCTTTCAGAGACTCCTGAAATGTCTTAAGTCCGGAGAATTTATAACATTAGTGTCAAGGGGCCTATATAGCTGCAGGAAAAGATATCAAGATTAATCTAAAAGAATTTCCAATTAGGTTATAAAACAGGTAGACTTGTGATGAACTATAGAGAGTCACCTATCCAAATCCACCAAAGCCTTAGCAGGGCCCAGAGCAGCATTGCAACACAAGTAACAAGCGAGCGCATTGGGCTCAATGCTTACTTATACAGAAGTAACGTGCCAGGAGTAGGAAAACCATGCTGCCAATGTGGACATCCGTCCCAAAATATAAAGTACATGGTGATGTCTTATCCAAGATGGGCAAAGGGAAGAGGTGAGTTACTGCGAAAATCGATAACCCGATCTTACGAAGCTATGATAAATAACGTCAAAGATATGACTAGAATTGTACAGTGGATTCAAAAGGAAGGATGGCTAGAGCAGTTTCGGATGACCGGGGAAATCGAGGCGTTAATCAGGCAAAGAGAGGTAAATGGAAATACAGGACAAGGACGGAATCCACACTAGCAACAACAGTGTGAGTGCACTTCCTAGAAGTAAGATTATAATGGCGTAGAGTCCAATCAGACAGCTAAGAGGGTTTTTACTGCAAGGTTTCCTCCTCTGTAAATATTCAAGTTCGTAGACACCTGCATAGGCCCACATGGCGCCAAATCGGGCTAAATGAAATCACATTCAAATTCAAGTTAGTTTACAGAAATAAACATAGAATAATCAAATTACACAATCCTGTCTTCATTAAATACATGCCAATAAATTCTCATCTACCTATTGAAATTTCTCAAGTTCTTTAATGTGTATTCAGTTTTTCAGTCGTGACATATTGTGACGGGCTTTGCCCGGATTGGGACTGATCACTAGGACCACTCCGTCTCCGAGGTAAGGTAGTGGTAGAGCAACGCTCCTGGATAGACGAAAGGGGCGCTAAGGGGGTATCAAAGGGGGTACGTACCAGATGGGGAGTATGATACAGGAGAAGAGTGTGGCGGGAGAAAGGATGATTCTCATATGGCCAAATGGGGGAGTTATTACTAGCGTACGCGGAAGACATAAAGGACAGGATACGATGGAGTATTTTAGCTTCCCAAGGAAAAATTATTCATTTCCATTGTGTTAACGACTTCAAGTACTTCTGAATTCCTTAAACCCTTAACAAAAGACCCCAATAAATTTTGAAGGGGGCCGACAATTGTGGAGGAAGCCCGTCAACTCACCCCCAGCTCTCAGCAGGGACTGGGAGATTTTCTAATTTGTGAGGTATGATACATGAGAGGATGTGTGAGGAGTATATTTCCTGGGTCATATTTGAAATAATCTTCTGTATTTCATCTCTTTTCCATTTTGAATGAATGGAGGTTTATTCGTGACGGCACAAGCCATGCACTCAAAGAGCATGATACGGAGAAGGCAAGTCCTTCCCCGACGACTATATACGACGATATCTCAATTTGATATTTGGACTACTCATGGAGTGGGTGCATTCGCTGATACCACTCGAGACCTTGGTGCTAGGGACTTTTACCCTTTCCTCAACCGTTAATATCCACCAAAGGGAAAACAGGAAAAACCTTTGGCTACCCTAATATGCCTTAGTCATCTTGTATATAGCCACCGCGCGAGATATAGCCTCACAGTCCTCCCTTTCTCGAGTGAGGTAGGTGTCCAGGCTACCCAGACTTTAATTCGGGGAGATGACGACCAGGAGGCGGGCCAAAACACCTTCCATCGTTGACAGTTTTTAGAGTGTCGGTAGCATTTTCCGAAATCGTTGCTTCTGCACCCACAGACAATCTTAAGTCGAAGAAACTCTAAAAATATGCGTCCCAGCATGCCCATTTGTGACCTGTTCACTCATTCGTCCCACGTCCCAGCTGCCTGTCCTCCCTCAAGATGTACAACCCCATTAGAGCAACGGTCCCCCATAGACCAAGACCCGAGCTTTGCATATTATGACTCAACTTCCTCCTCGCGGGTATTCATAGCGTTATAAATATGGAGTGGGAAATGGCCGGTTCTTGATGAGGCAATTGCCCGATTGCAATTGGAGTGACGCCATTATCGGTATTTGAGGCGAGGTGGTGTAGAAGATTGAGGTGGAGGACTCGCATGAGAATGATAGGTCCGACATTTGAATTTGAATTTGAATTTGAAATCTTTTACGTGACAGGAAGAACCTAACATCTATGTCAAGTTTTACATAGGTCCGACATTGACGATGAGTCGTCGATTTTAAATGTGCTTGTGAGTGCTTTCGACCTCGAATTGGATGCGATTCTTCTTGGCTATCCCAGATATGCAGAACATACTGAGCGATTACTTCGGCATCACTGGAAGGTGAAGAATTCGTCTTTACCGGCTCTTTTTCAATATGTCTTGGCTCTAGGTTTTAACTAGCTATAATTTGTGTAGTACTTCACGTTGTGGGAACAATTTGGGCGTAACATAAATAAGATCTTTTCTGTTAATACCGGTCTTAGGCTCGGAGAGAATAACGGGTATATCATAGAACCTAGAAATAAATACAAATAAAAAAAAGGATCACTGCCATGTATACACGTTGGATGACTCTTTTGACGTCGGGGACACTCATACTCTGGATTTCATTCGGCTGTATCTATAAAAAGTATGCTTTCTTACACAAACAGTTGAGCCTCCCTCGTAAGTATCAACAAGACCGAATTTCAAAACCATTGATTATCCAAGCATTCCTTCGTCATACGTGTACACCAGTGCCACTAAAAATATAATTAAACATTGCTGGTTTCGGATAAGCTATCCCACGTATCAAGTAGGATATTTTTTCTAGCTATCCTGACCTTACATGAGAGAATGAAGTTGATGATGCTACACTGCGTCATTGAACCACGACCAGCTACACATAGTTACCTTATATCATGAAAATGAAGGTGTGATGCATACATCTCTTTTCAAATCTGAATTCCCTTCCTGGTAAAGTATCTTACATCAGCTGATTCTTATCGATATGCTTTCTATCATGAGGTTCGTGTTATATATCCTGCCGTATTTGTGCGCCACGTTATCAGTCCATCTGGAGATATCCATTGCATCACGAACTGATACCTAGAGGCTAGTCGAAACCAGACACTAACTTGAATCTAATTAAATAATGGAGAGAGTAATGTACTAGGTCGCACTTAGAGAATTAGCTAGGATTTAGGAGGTATATAGCCCAGCAAGCATGCAATGAATGTGGTCGGAAATCATGAACCTGTGTCTCGCAGTCCATCAATCTCTGCAGCGCGAAATTGGGCTGTAATCTGCACCAGGGGAAATCTCGTACGAGAATCGTAGACTTGACCGCTCAAAATAATACAGAATTCGTCTTTCGCCGAGTAGGCTGTTAGATATGAGTCGGTCTCGATGCTCCCATGGCCTTATGCTACCGAGAAACTTCGCCACTTATTGAATAAGAATTGAATCTACGCTTCAATTAGTTTCAGAGATTTACTTCATAGTTTGATTTGTTATTGGTCACTTACGATGGACAGATAGATTGATAAAAGTTGAATGAAAAGTAAAGCATCATATAAGGAAACTGCAATTGCTTTGGCCCGCGTTGACTACGATAACGCGTCTCTCCCTACACATGCACATGTCGAGTAGTCAAGTATATTTGCCGCAGTATGGTTGAATGTCCGATCTGCACCAAGGAAGTTGATCCGAGAGATATCAATGAACATATCGATTCGGCCTGTAATAATTTTAAAGAACTGGATACGCCTTCACTCCCCGAACCCAATTGCACCTCGTCCAAAAAAGCCAGTGTTTCAGCCTTCTTCCAACCATCGACAAAGCGGAAAGCTCCAGCCGCTACGCCCAAGCAAAAACCTCTGAGCCAACCTTTGAAACCCCTTTCAAGGTCTCAAGGAAATGTCACACCGACCGCCACTCCGCAGAAGAGGTTATTCGAAGACATCGATGGGGTCGTAGAACCAAATAGATGTTTAGGACCAGCCGAGCCCTCAGTGAACCCGGAACCTATAAAAAAGAGTCGACTAGGCTCTTCCCTAAAATTTGCACCTTTGGCGGAAAGGATGCGCCCAACATGTCTAGATGATGTCTTCGGCCAAGATCTCGTAGGTCCCAATGGAATCTTGCGTGGACTAATTGACCAAGACCGTGTGCCGTCGATGATTCTCTGGGGTGGCTCGGGCACGGGTAAAACGACTATCGCACGCTGTTTGGCAGATCGTGTAGGCAGTAGATTTGTGGAAATAAATAGCACAAGCTCTGGCGTTGCAGAGTGCAAGAAAATCTTTGCAGAGGCTCGCGGAGAGCTTAGCCTAAGCGGACGAAAGACCATCATCTTCTGCGATGAAATTCATCGGTTTTCCAAATCCCAACAAGATGTCTTCCTAGGACCCGTCGAATCCGGTCACATCACGTTGATTGGCGCGACTACAGAGAACCCCTCTTTCAAGGTTCAGAATGCTTTACTTTCTCGTTGTCGAACTTTTGTCCTATCTAAGCTCACGAATGAAGATATATTCAAGATCCTCGAAAAAGCCGTTGCTCGTGAAGAACAAAAGCATCAGACACCAGAGCTCATTGATACGGAATTACTTCAGTACCTCGCAGCATTTTCGGATGGCGATGCTCGAACGGCCCTGAATCTGCTCGAACTTGCCATGAGCTTCTCAAATAGGCCGTCTATGACCAAGGATGAGCTCAAATCATCGTTAACCAAGACGCTAGTCTACGACCGAGCTGGTGATCAACACTATGATACTATTTCTGCCTTTCACAAATCTATTAGAGGTAGTGATGCGAATGCAGCACTATATTACTTAGCTCGTATGCTCCAATCAGGCGAAGATCCATTATATATTGCGAGACGAATTATTATCGTCGCTAGTGAAGACGTTGGACTGGCTGACAACAGTATGTTAGGCCTTGCTACTAGTGCCTACACGGCAGTCGAGAAGATTGGAATGCCAGAGTGCCGAATTCCTTTAGCCCATGCTACTGTGGCTTTATGCTTGGCTCCAAAAAGTACACGCTTATATCGAGCATTGAACAATGCCTTTATCGCGCTACAAGAACCGGGAGTCGCGGCTCTTCCCATTCCGACTCACCTTCGTAACGCCCCAACAAAGTTGATGAAAGAACTTGGCTTCGGCGATCAGTACAAGTATAACCCTAATTACAAAGACGGCAAGGTTCGTCAGGATTATATGCCAACCCAAATGATTGGGCGAAGCTTCCTAGATGACCGCGACCTGGGTACGGAGATCGATCCTGAGGCAGAACCCTAGTAACCGCAAATCTACTTCCAAGTTATAGGCCGCGGGCCATAAAATCTGATGGGACTTTAGCTACATATGATAGGGCCTATAAGCAAAGTTCGAGATCTATGCGCGGTATCAAGATAATTGTAAGACAAGATGCCTCAATGTCACTCAATGCAATTTCTACATCTACACTTTTTCAAGTTTACTTGTCGAGAATAATGAGTTTTTATTGTCTAGAATTTATTGCCACTTTTCCAACGTTCCCACTTCGGTCCACTGCTCACTATTTAATAATCCTCCACACAATAATATCGAGCCCAGATTTTTAGAATGATCTTTAATTATTCTTTAATGATATTAACACATGGATAATTCCTCTGGGATCTCTCATTGTTTTAAAATTTAGGTCTAGCAGAAATAATCTTATTATACTTTTTTTCGCAACACCAGTTTGGGGTGTACATGCGTCAGGAGAGAGATACCCATATGTTGATAGTTAGTTGGTCACGTGTATTGCTGCAGCTTGGCGTGTCGCCCTTTAGGCTGACACGCCTACATCTAAGAGGAACAAAGAGAATCACCACATCATCGAGAGACCTATTGCGTACGCGTACACGCGTCTATTACCAACCGACACTCTTTATTAACACTGTGCGCAATTTATGGGGACCTTTTTGGAAGTTTTTGAGTCCTAATTACACATCATACCTCCCCAAGTTTATCAACGCACCAAATTGATTAAAGTTAGAAATTTATTTCAAGTGAACGGATTTAAGTGTGACAACGACTGTATCACGAGTGACTTATTTATATTCCTCGGTTAAATTAGTCGTCGTTGCCAAGAACTGACCCCCATATCCCCATTTTTTAAGACGCCTCTTTTGACGGGCTTTGCCCGGATTGGGATTGGTCACTAAGACCACTCCGTCTCCGAGGTAAGGTAGTGGTAGAGCAACGCTCCTGGATAGACGAAAGGGGCGCTAAGGGGGTATCAAAGGGGGTACGTACCAGATGGGGAGTATGATACAGGAGAAGAGTGTGGCGGGAGAAAGGATGATTCTCATATGGCCAAATGGGGGAGTTAATACTAGCGTACGCCGAAGACATAAAGGATAGGATACGATGGAGTTTTTTAGCTTACCAAGGAAAAATTATTCATTTCCATTGTGTTAACGACTTCAAGTACTTCTGAATTCCTTAAACCCTTTACTCTTCACACAAATACCCTTCAAACGTCTGAGACGTTGGTTGGGTTGAATAAGAGAAGATCCTTACACTCAATGTTTTTGTTGATTCAATAATGATAGTCATAAAACTATGACCTAGTATTAACTTGATTCATACGTGATTGAATAGATTATCTAGACATGAGGGTCGTTTTGTGAAATAAAATCTCTTTAAAAATCTTGGCTTTTCATACCTCAAGTTATACACATCATCAATGATTCAGTAAACTATGTTTTGATAAATTGGCAACTTTTATAAAATATACAATCACAAGTCCCGTCAATTCCGATACCAAATTTATACTGCTTCAAGAAATTACTTAGTTACAAATCAGTCGAAGACTCCAGATAAAGTAATAATTAAATCGAGCATAGGGCCAGCTCTTGCGTAAAGACAACCAAGCCATGATACTAATAACGTAGCCTTGCTCAGACTATCAATCTTTAATCCGTGGTTGCCTCATTAGCTAGTGTTGGATCCTTGGAGCCAGTGCTTGAAGTCGTGTTCTGAGTAGACTGCTGTTTCAAGCCTTCGTTGTCAACGGGTCGAGCGTCACTCGAGTTCCAGTCAGGTTCGACGGGTGGCTCCTCTGGAAGTGGGAGATTTGCCTGGCGCTCAGCGATTACATCATCTTTATTGGTTTCTGGCATGCTGTCACTAGATTTCTGTCGACACACTTTAGTTTTATTGCTAGCTTTGCCATGAATTATACTCACATTGATTGCAATATACTGCAAGATGCTAGTTTTTATAATTGAAACTGATAATTGAGAGAGTTGTAGCTGTCCGTGGAGATGCGGTAGATTTATGGCACTAGTTACATCTCCATTACGACAGATTCTTTACTCTCTGATGACGTATGGAATATGACGAAATTCCTAGAATTGGAATAGTTGCTCTGAACACACTTCCCCCACTTTAGATTGTTGAGAAACACTTAATCATGTGAAGTGCATAGTCCGTTGCATATTAAATCCATTGGCTTTTATAATCAGTTCCCTCAGAAGATAAAAATTGATGGCATAATTTATAGATAAAATCCTTCTATGTGTATGACAATATGTGGGCTACTAAACAGTGTTCACTACAGTATACACTGGCTAAAACAGTTGGCACTCAAGTCCCGATCATACTTGGACAAAAATATTCTAGTGAATTCAAAAAATCTTTCCTAGTCTATCTTCCTGATGAAGCATTCAAGACACCGCTGGTGATTACCAGGACTTATGAAGAGAGTAGTACTACTGTAGCCATATTGAAAGATTCTTCTGTTGTTCATTCATTCATTCATCTAATTTAACGTCCTATGCGGTATCTATATACAGAACCATGAAGACGGTAAGCCGCTTTGGTAAGGGAAAAAGCTTTCAACAAACAAAACCCGATGTCCTGCCACTTTGAACCGACCCGGCTTTATACTGAGGGCGTTCCTTTCAACCGCAATCATGTAAACTTACCTCGAAATTCATTAACTCCCCCTTCAATCAGACCATCATTATGAGAAATTAAAAAGAGAAGGCACCTCCTCACTCGGTGTTGGTCTTCGAAGTGTTCGAAGAGTTGGCCCGATGGTGGTGCTGCTGTCGAGGCCATGGTTATTGCCGCTGGGGCCTCGACTACCTTACGCGGTCGTCCTGGCCCTCGTTTGAGTCCTTCAGCCTTTTTACTGGTGACCAAAGTGAATCCTTGGTCGTCGATCGTTTCGACTGTTCGTGTTGGCGCCATGGTAGGGTTTTCATTCCATATTTCTGCCGTCCTCGATAACAGCTCCATCCGAGCCTTCTCCACACTACCCTTGTAAACCTGGTAGGTCCGACACGCTGCTTTCTGCCATGAACGATGTTCCTTGCCGCAGTTGGCACAAGAAACCCTTTTCCTCGGACAGTCCCGAGTTTGGTGAGCGCCAGCGCACCCACCGCACCTGGCTGCCTTTCCACACGACGCCTGCGTATGTCCCCACTGGCTGCAGTTGTAACACTGCTTTGGCTGAGCCCGTGGAGACCATACCTGCGCGGTGAAGAGCATGGCGTTAATAACAAGGCCCTGTCGAACTACCTCCGTTTGCATTGCCTCCGATGGGAAGCTGACCACAATTGAACCTCGATTGCGACCGTTTTTCTTCGATCGCTGATGCTCCTTTCCATCATGTAGCCATCGTATTCTATTAATTACCAGGCCTGGAATACGTGCCTTCGTCGCCGTCTCCATCTCCCTGATAATGGCGTAGTTGTTGGCATCTCTGCCATCCTCAATTCTTGTCCGCAGTGGGACTCCAGAAACCTCAACAGGAGAGTCTTGCCGCAAAATTTTAAAATCCATTGGTTGTCGCATGTTAAGCGCCGCGTCTCTCTGGGACACCGACTGGACAAACACCTCGGTGTCGTTGCTTCGCATCTGTCGAATTGCAAATGCGCCTTGAATATGTTGTTGTGCTTTTGAGAGCAGCTCTTGTGGCTGCAAGTTTTGTGCGCCATCGATTCTTATTCTAACCGCTGTTTTCGTCATTTGCGGAGCCACGACCGACGCGTAGCTCCTTGGTGTCGGCGCGCCCGAAACCACAGCTGGTGCAGCTTTTCGAGCGGGGTCCGCGAGGCTCTTTTTGACAACCTCCTCGAGCGCCATCATCCTCTCCTCGGTAGGAGACTTCTTCTGGGTCATTTCCGTCCAGGCCCTTTTGTGTGCGTTGAAGGCCTTCACGGCCTCGTTCACATCCTCCATTGAGGGTAAGTCCTCATCATCCATCTCTCCCATCACGATGAGTCTAACCTGTTTCAATAGTTTCCCCAGGATTTCAAGGTTTCTATCCTTAGGAGCTGTCTGCGATCCGCTGCCGTTGTTTTTTGGGGCCATTGTCGCATTTTGCGACGCGTCGAAACCGCTGGATTTACCCACACCAGCACCCTCACTCGCCATGTTAGAGCACGGAAAGCGATAAGATGTAAGGAGGGTAATGAAGATATAAAAATAATTATCACGATGTCAAATTGGTGATACGGGTAGCGTGGAACGCTGCGCAGCTTTCTGGCAAAAATGATGTTTTTTTTGATTCTTCTGTTGTTGTTTAGGGATATACGAGAATTCAACATAAATCTCTCGGAGATACAACAACCTACTAGAAATTTGGAATTAATGGAGCGTAGTAAATCCTCTGAATTTGTCCTAGGGAAGCATAAGGGAGAATCTACAAACAACTAACCTCTCCCTCATATGATTCACTATTAGCTGAAATAGGCGGTTTTTTTCTGTAGAAATTTCTGTTGCTCTGGAAAGTGTCTCAGTAGAATTTAACCCTTGTTAAATGCTATCCCTATGTGCTTATTATACGGCCAAGTTATCTTCAAAAGCTGTACTGTATTTGCGTGCAGTCTTGGGACTTCTTGCCGGCATTCTTTTACAAGCTTAGAGATCTCCTCAACGATAGTATTACAGATCTATGGTAAATCTTGCTTACATGGATTGAGTCGCTGAGCGTTTACATTGTTTTCGCTTGTGACCTGGCTGAGAGGTAAGTCTTGCTTTAGGTATGATGAACTAGACAAATATAATTCATAACAGACGATGTTCTTGAATTGTGGTGGCGCAGTTTGAGATTGAATTTATCCCAGTATGCCATTCGGTACGTGTCAGTATGCTCTGGTGATTCGGAGAACTTACGCCGCCAGTTTTGGCGTCTCGTCTGCTTCACGGGTCGAAGGGATTCCTGCTATCATTCTCTCTAAAGATCTTGTTCTGACGCTTGGTCCTACGGCAACTTTCCTTTCACCCTGGCGCTTTCCTAACGTTTTGTAAAGTGAAAT